AAAAAAGTAAAATAGGAATAAAGGTTACAGAAAAAAATATTATTCCTTGTCTATATATTTAACACTCATTTTTTAATTTAATTTTTATATTTTAATATGTTATAATTTTAGTAAATAGATAACTTTGCAATATCAATAAATGGTAAAAACCAAATAAAAATAAATATACGTATAAAACTGCATTTTAAAAATTACATATAAACCAAATTAAAAATAATAGTTATATTTATGGAGAATGCTAAAAAGATTTTAAAGAAAGAGAAAATGTTGATCCAATAGTGATTCGAATAGGTAGTGAGTTGGTAGTAGAAGATTTTGGTAGTAAGAATATCTCTCCTCATATTTATATACCATAAATATATTTTACCCACAACATAATGATAAAAGTAAATAAATTTCTGGGCTTTTATTGTCATTCTTCTGTTGACTTTTTTCTACTTCTAGCAGAGTGTCATTAACATGACAATTTAGATTATTTTCATCATTTATTCTTTGTATTAAGGTCAAAGCCCCGCGACGCTTATTAAGAGAATTTGAAGTTGACTAAAAATGTAAAAGATTTTAAATTTTTAAAAAAAAAATTATCTGTTTTAGCATTCGCATAAAGGAACTAAAGGTCTTACAGATTTATTTTTTTCTTGCAGAAAAGAAGCCTTATAAAATTTTTATTATTACAATATTTTATCATTTATTCACTTATTTTTTAAATTTATAATTTAAGTTTGGACATTTAAGTCCATTTACTCACACATTGACTATTTCGAAAATTTATAATTTAAGTTTGAACATTTAAGTCCATTTATTCATACGTTGACTATTCTTCTTTTTAAGCACAAGTCTGTAACTATTTATATTTCATTTACTTTTGTGATTGACAAGTATATTTATGTTGTATTTTTAAAAAATATATAATATATGATCTAACAAGAATATATTTTATAGAAAATTAATAAAATATTTTTTGTTTATTTACCATACTATTTTTTTGTTACAATTTTTTTATTAATTAATTTATTCCTAAGATAGTATATTTTATTTACAGATTTTGCAGTTCCAAAAAAAATTATTGTCTAACGGATTATAAAATTTTAAAATTTAATTCAGATCTAAAAGTAATTAGTGGATAAGAACGTATATACATATATTAGGGGGGGGAAACCTTTATTGTGTTTATGCACCATAATTATTTACGTCGTTATTATTGATGAAAAAAATATTGAAGAAAGTGTTTCTTATTCTAAATAACATAAGGTTATGTCATTAAGAAAGAGATAGACACAAAATAATATTTTTTTATTTAAAACTTAAATTAAAAAAAAAACCACTCACTCTCTTCCTCATAATTTTTATTTCTTGTGTCTATCTCTCTCATAAAATCACATAATTTATGTCATTTAAAATGATAAATATAAAATCCAAAAATATTAAACGTAAATATAACAGGTGTAATCATAAGGGCTAAAGATTTTTCTATTAACTTTTCATCAGAGCCTGCATATTGAGAGTCTGAGACTGAAACAACCTCGTATCAATTCATCCACATGTGTGGTGGTATCTTTGACAATTTTGTTTTAAAATTAATTAAAATGATTATTTTAAAATTATAAACAAATGAGATTTGAAAGGAAAAGAATTAACATAAAATGTTAGGGGCGTTTGGTACAAGAAAAATTTTTATTTGTCCGGGAATCTCGATTTTCAAAAATATGATTTTTGCATTCAGTTTACGATAATTCTGAAAATTTAAAATTTAGAAAAATTCAGTTTCCCGGGAATCCCTCAAAATCCCGCGTACCAAACGCCCCTCATGTAGAGTTTTGAATTAGTGCACTGAGTCTGAGATATATATCCTCTTAAAATGGAAAAAAAAAAATTCCTATTATATTCCTTATGTAGTTGTTCTGTAACAACTTCTTGAAATAAAAAATAACAAAAGGGATGAATTTATTTATTTGGTGAAGCCTATATTTTCAATTGAGCATCACTTCGTGATAGACAATTTGAAGTCAGCTAAAAATTTAAAGTATTTTTATCTTTTATATTTTTTATTTGTTTTGGCATTCCAAGAAAGGAAATAAAGGTTTTGTAATTTTTATTTTATTTTCCTTGCATCATTTATTGTCAATTAATAATTAATTTATAAATTTAATTTGCAGAAATCTTAACCGTTGATTGGCGGAAATCAACTATTAAGATATGATTGTAAAATGTTATAAAGAAAAATAAATAATAAGTATAATATTCCTCATGTAAAAATAAATAAATAAAATCTTTAAAATCCATGCATTCTCTCTAATAAATATAGGGAAAAGTGACTACCAACAAAAATATATAAAGAAAAACAGTTATCTTTTTAAATGACACAATTTGTATAATTTGACTCTCACAATGAGGTGAGACTCATACATTTATTTATTTTTGTTCATTCTCTTCTCTTCTGATCTATTTTTTCTCACTTAAAATAACACAATTTTACATCCTTAAAATTATAGACACTATTCCCATAAATATATGCCAAAACCAACTATAGTAACCGATGGCTGGCAGGGTTGACTGTTAAGTCGAGAAATAGGAGATCCATCACCCATTAACAAATTTTGAATTATAAGTTCCTTTTTAAACTATATTTTGAATTTATTGTTTAAATATGATTTGACCGCAGTAAATATTTTAACCATTTTCAAGGCTTTGACCAGCCTTTAATGCACGACTAGCATTTAATATTTTTAATTAAGTCTTGTAGTTTTAGTATATCATTTATTTTATGAATATATTGATTCTTAACATTGATTTTTTTTTTTTTAAATATATTATATGATCAAACAAGAATATGCCATACTATTTTTTATTAATTTGTTTATTTCTAGATAGTATATTATATTGACAGATTTTGCAGTTCATAAAAAAATTATTGTCTAACGGATTATAAAATTTTAAAATTTAATTCAGATCTAAAAATGATTAGTGGATAATAAAGTATATACATATATTAGGAAAGAAATCTTTATTGTGTTTATGGCAACTTAAATATTGACTAATGAAAAAATATTAAATGTAAATATTACAGGTGTAAGCATAACGGAGAAAGATATTTCTACGTTTTTATCATTGCTTGTATGTGGAGATTGAAATAGCTTCGTACTAGTTCATTCACATATTTGGTGGTATTTTTGATAATTTTTTAATTTGTGATTAATTAATTCTTTGAGTCTTCTTTATTTCAGATAAATTTAACATATAAATTTAAACTAATTTTAAATTTTCATTATTAATTACACTTATATTAACAAAAATTTATGTGTAAGAATTTAAATATAATATCTAATGTTACCACGAAAATAAAATAAAAAAAGCTTTATGTAATGGGTCATATTGTTTTGCAAATTGATCTCTTGATTGACCCTAACTTTGTTATTTGGTATGGGCTTTTTTCGGCTCGGCCCAACATTTTTAAAGTAACAGCAGTAATTAATTTTAAAGAGCGTTTGGTAGCCGGTATTTTTCAAGAATTTTGAAAATTAAATTTTTTAAAAATTTTAATTTTTGAATATTATCAGAAATTGAATGTTTTCATCATATTTCTGAAAATCGAGATTTCCTATAAAAAAATTTCCTCTACCAAACACTCTCTTAATGAAAAGTATTTGTACTTTTTAAAAAATGTATTATTTTAAGTGGAGAAAAAAATATAAATTAATACTTTTTATTTAAAACTTAAATTAAAATAAAAATTACCAACTTCTTTCCCATTATTTTTATTATTTATATTTTTTTCTCATTTAAAATAGTTCAACTCCAGGTACTTTAAAAGGATGAATATTCAACCCTTCATTTTATTTTATAATTGATTTGCATTTTTATTTTGTTACCGACCTAAAAAATAAATCCAAAAATTGCGAAAAAAATATGAATAGAAAATAAAAAAAAAAGGTTTGAAGTTTGTCATTTTAAATGACATAAGTTATGTCATTTTAAGAGAGAGATAGACACAAAAAATGAAAATCATGGAAGAGAGAAAGTGAGTAATTTTTTTTAATTTAAATTTTAAATAAAAAAATTCTTGTGTCTATCTCTCTCTTAAAATGACATAACTTTGTGTCATTTAAAATGACAAACACTTTTTCCAAAAAATAAAAGCAGCACGTCTTGGGGAGAACTGACTTCAGGGCAAGAAAGATAGCCCTCACATTCTTTTCACTAATTTTTTTTGCTCCGCCGCTGAAAGCAACCACCATCAGCAGCAGCATAGCCGCCGGCGACGAATAGGTATTTTTTTTTTGTTTAACTTACCTCTGTATCTTTGTTCACTTGCTTTGTGCATTCCTTCTTCTACTAGCTTCAGGATTTTTCAGTTTGTAGATTTCCTTTTCAACTTTCAACTGTTACGTGCATTATTACATGGCTTACATATATACATTAAACTTTTCATCTTTGGCCCTGAAAAGTGTAAACAGGTTTTTGTTCACAGCAAATGATACAAGTTCTGTGAATTATTATTATTATTATTATTTCAGTTATGGTTTTTGAAATTGTCTCAATTATTTATTTTCTGTGAATATAACAATCATGAATTATTCTTATGACGATTATTTTTAATTTAGTTCTTTCTGTGAATTATTATTATATTTTTTTTCAGTTTTGCAAATTAAATTTAAATAAAAATCATGAACTTTCTTACCACGTCATTTTTACTGCACGACGGTTTAACAGAATACAACAATAGTTTGTTACTCAATGGCAGTTATTCTATCTGTTATTTAAAACCGATGCGGAAATATTTGATGACCCCAAATTCAGAGTCATTTTCGAAAAGGTCAAAGAAATTTTCTCCAGCTATTTGACGCTAAATGTCGTGTTTGCTGTAGAGTATAACCGGACATCAACTTGTTCTTTGTGTCATTGCTTGAGCCTAACTTACACATATTAATTTCTTTAACACAAGATCGAAGCAATAGTCTTCATTGATACTCATGTTATTACAATTGTAGAGTATTGGCATTACAAAGAGGGAGCATAACATAAAGACCAACACCAACGATGCATATCACAGCACTTCATTGATACTCAATGTTATTACAATGGTACTGTATTGGCATCCCAAAGAGTGAGCATAACATAAAGACTATAATGGTACTGTATTGGCATCCCAAAGAGTGAGCATAACATGAAGACCAACGATGCATACCACCACAAATGCAGCTGCTCCAGCCTAGGTTGTCAGCAGCGGCCCGTAGCGATGCTAAACCGCTACCGTAGCGGGTAGCGGCGGTCGGCCGCTACAAACTGCGACGCTACACGACATTGGTCGCAGCGGAAGGTAGCGGCGTAGCGGTATTACCGCTACGGTGAAGTATTAATTCCACATATATTATAACTAACAATCAAGAAACGAGGCAATACCGCTTTTAATATTAATGCTCAAACATAAGAAGTCACACAAAATCAAACACATAATTCCACAATCAATGTCAAATACAAGGAACATAAAGGAAGGATCCAAAATTAAACACAACTGAACAATAAAATTGTCAAATAGACTCCCATGTTGGAATTTGATGGAGAATCCGGAGATGATGACGATTTTCTTTATTAGTTCACTTCTTGTACTTGACTATTTGACAATTTTATTGTTCAGTTGTGTTTAATTTTGGATCTTTCCTTTATGTTCCTTGTATTTGACATTAATTGTGGAATTATGTGTTGATTTTGTGTGACTTCTTATCTTTGAGCATTAATACTAAAAGCGATATTGACTCGTTCCTTGATTGTTAGTATAATATATGTGAAATTAATACTTCACCGTAGCGGTAATACTGCTACCCCAAATTTTTGTTTATTTTGGGGCTTTTGTTTATTTTGGGGTTCGATAAGGGGGGTTAATTTGGGGCTTTTGTTTATTTTAATGTTATATTTGTTTAATTTTTAAAAAAATATATATTTATTTAATTTTTTTATAATTTAATAAAATTGATAAAAACTTCTCTCAGTAGTCCGCCAGCAAGAACGGTAGATGAAGTACTATTGTTGGAAATCTTTGAGATGAAGATGTCAGCTTGCAAAGGTGTTGACTGGGACATGCCTACATGGAATTTAATGACCAAGATGTATCATGATTCAATTACCGGCATGCATGTTGGTGCGGAGTTTATTAGAGATATTTTTTTCAGCTATGTTGCTAAATACGATGTGATAATGATATTACTTCATTTTGGAATATCTATTGATTATGAATCTGATTTTCTTTTTGGCCCTTCTACTGCTTGGGATAGAGCTGAATCTGTAAGTTAGTTTTTTGTGAGAGTTTACTTTATGCATTTCAGGCATAAAATATAATTTTTGTTTGTTTTTGTTTTCAGCAAATGCCTTCCCGAAGCAGAATAAGAGATTTGAAAAACCGTAAGTTTCCGAACGTTACTTTATTTATAAATGTTTTTTCTTTGTATAAAGAGCTAAATAAATTCGGTAGTGCTTGCATCCATGTGTTACGAACCATCGCCGTCTATAGTTCTCGAAACCCCCCTTGAAGATAATGATTATGTGCAAGCAACTCAAGTTGTCAAAACCTTCCCTGAAGATAATAATCTGAAAAATCAACCCCACGCTCAATGTCGGGCAGAAATGGGTGAGATTGAAAATCGTTTGAATTCGAGAATGGGTATTGAAGATAAATTTGATTTCAATGAGAAGATATGGGAAGATCAATTTGATTTGAATCAAAAGGCAATTGATTCAATCAAAGTTAGTATGGGGCATGTACTTGAATCTTTAGAATACAGAAAAATGTCCCAGGGAAGTAAGAGGAAGCTCAGTGGCGATGGGGGTTGGCAATGATGAGGTAGGACTAGGATCTTTTTTAGTTTTGAATTTTACATTGTTTAACACCAATATTTTGAGTTTTGTTGTGTTGTTAATGACTCAATTTGCAAGTGAAATAGCCCCAAATTATAAAGAATTGGCCCAATTAAGTATTTGCAATTTTGTGAATATTACTAATGTTCTGATTTGTTATTTCAGAAACATTGAAGCCACGAGAACAAAAAGTGGGGGGGTTTCGGGTCACTCTGTCTTGCCACGGGACTTGGGGAGGAGATGATTGTTAGCATGAGTTTGAGGACCCGAATACATTGTTAAACTATTGATTTCATTACCAAGCCTTACTTGTGTAATTTGAATTGTCTATGTTTTTTTATTTCTGCAATGTTCCTTGTCTACGTATTTTTCTCTCATTGTTCAAGAATGTTCTCGTGGAGTTTCAAAATAGTGCTTCACCGTGTACACTATGTGACATGGACAAAACGGCGGAGAGATTGAATTAAAATAAATAGTCTTCTGCAGGTTAGAAATACTTTTTTGTACCAAAAAGAAAACCAAGAATGGGGCCACTGGGCAGTGAATGTCACCTGGTGGTGGTTTTGGTTGTACACCTGGTGGGGAATCTCATGCTGGACAAACCTCCTCTGGGAGAAAATGACATGAAAGGAAATTAAATGTGACATGTGAAATAAACTCTTGTATACACAAAATGTGAACATACTGAAAGTTTCCCATTAAAAGCAAGTAAAACCATGTCTGTTACATTATCAAATTAAAAATATATGGTTTCCAATTGATAAATAGCAAATGCTAAACAAAATGCTATTCAGCTCAAGATACATTTATAAGGTGAATTGGAAGCTATTCAGCTCTAACCAAAATGCTAAACATCAGAACTTGAACTCAAGCACACACAATTTATAAATGAGATCAATCACAAACCTGCATTCAGGACTAAGAATATAAGGTAATAAATTATTATAAGAAGTTCAAAAGTTAAATATGGAAGCAAGGGTGGAGAAAACAAAGCCAAGCAAAACAACAAAGAGTTTGAGTAATAATATGCAGCATAATCACAACACAACTAACTGGAGCATAGTGATTTTCTTATGTATACCTTGCTTTTTCAACTTTTGTATCCTTATGGAGCGTAATTCTTGAAGCTTCTCCACTATCAAGACAAGCTCGAGCTGTGATACAAAACTGTGAATGAATATCACAGGCCCCAGCTACACACGTTTTAATTATTCCACCCCCCTTCCTCCACCCCAGCCAGCATATTAATTATCCTTCCTATTCATTTGATTATATTGGAGATAACATGTTTTTTATACAGTACAGAAGATGATAAATACCTGCATTATTCTCCTCTTCTTCGGGGTTATTATCATTTACAATCTCAGTAGGAAACATATTGGGGCATCCTGAGCAAGAAGAAACACGAACTACATTACAATTAAATCAACAGTTTTTTTTTTTTTTGCTATAAAGTGCATCATTTTTGTTTTCCTTGTCTACTAATGCGCATGATACTTTAACATGAAAACAAATAAAATGTAATATAAGTTCAAAGAATTAAATGAAACAAAAAAAAAATTAATTTGTTTTTAAAAAATGCAAGCATTTATGAACCAACAATTCCCTATTTCTACACTACATACAACAAAATACCTTGAAGATCATCATGAAAAATGCATCTTCTGTCATGGGATTCCCAAGCTTCCACCTCCTCTTTGAACTCAGTCCGCCAATTATTTGTACGTGGACCTTTTCTATTTTTCTGACTAGGCTTTTGGGGAGGGAGTGGCCAGTTGAAGCAAGTGGGATTCTCATCATACGTCCTGTATTGATTTGGACTTTGATCAGGACAGTTATAAGCTATTTTTTGATAGCATATTACAACTGTCCTGCTATATCCAAAATGCATTTGAGCTGCAAGATGAGCAGGAAGAATGTCAATCTTCCTTGAAAATGCATCCCACTGAATCTGTAAGAAAAAAAGAGGCAAATTAATTAAATAAATAAGATTTTTATTTGGTAAATTAAGTTCAGAAACTTACTTGATTGTCCTGGAGGTTATGAAAAAAAAATTCATATGTGATGCGCTTGGGCTTGCCTTTGGCATTGAAAGTTGTTGTTCGCAACTTTTCATACCAACCATTTATTAGCGGAAATGACGGGGAAACAAAGTTTGTTGAAAGAATCACATCTTCAGTTTCAGACAGCCCAGCCTTGAAAGTAAGAAGCCGAAGGCTGGGTTTATGTACTCATAAAAGAAAATCTGCAAGAACATAAGACAAAAATTAATAAATCAGAAATAAAAAATAAGTATTCAAACCCTACATTATATAACTAAAAAAATATACAACTACTTACCTCCAAAACCGACGATGGAAAATTTATAGAATTTCTTTTGTGTCTATCAATGGTTACTTCCCTCAGGCACTGATGCATATTGGCCAAAAAGGCAGCTCCCCTCTAGGAGAGTAAGATATATGACATCAACACAATGGGCAGTAGGGCAAATCAATGATCCTATAACATAAAGTAGGTATGCCCTAACATAGTAATTAAACTCTTCTGACCCGGGGGAAATACCAACAGGAACTTCTTCAAATGTTTCCCTCAACCACTTTAGTCGTATGGAGCCTTTTTCTGAGGTCTAGCTCTTATTGTTGTTTCCATCAACCCGGATGATGTTCCCAAATACTTTATACAAACTTCAATGACAGAAACATCGGAGCCGGTTACAGGTTTGCCTATTATAGGCAAGCCTAGTAGAAACAATATTTCGAAGAGTCCAAAGTGGAGAGAAATGTTGTTGAAGACAAAGGAGTATGAATCACGGTTATAGAAAGGAAGCACAGCATCTAGAAGATGGAAGTGAGATCCCTCTCCTTTTATTTGTGATACATGTTTAAATGATGTCTCATCAAGAACAGCTTGGACAACAGCATTTAACTTCCATCTTGACAGATTAGAGATGGGTGCAGCATTTCTCAGTGCCTGAAAAAAGAAAAAAGTATTTATTAGTAAAGAAGAAAAAAACTTCTCCATGTGTCTCTGTCCCAACTTTCACAATCTTGACAATAAGGCTAGCCAAAAAAAATGCGACAGCAACATTAGACATGGTTTTAGGAAATTGACTGTAATAGAACTCTATTTAAAAAATCATTATCAATGTCACATTGTTACCATCACACTATCGGGATGGATGAAAACCCTTTTGGTCCCTCTTTTTAACCCAAAATTTCTGCCGTAATGCAATGAAACAACCTGGAAAAAAATAATCAATCAAAGGCAAAAACAGAGAGTGAGAAAGTACCAATAATAGGAAGGGAACCAAGGAAAAACAAAACTGCAAATAGGGAACAAAGAGCAACAGAATATGGGGAATAAAGGCAAAAATATATCTCCCAAGTGATCAATATTTGTTCCTTGTCCGGTAATAACTCACAAGTGTCCAGAAGCATAGCATGATCATGGATGTTGTATAAATGTAAAATTCAGTAGCATTAACAAAATCATAACCGATGTTGGGAATATTATTACACATGAGATGCTTAGAGTAAAATATAGCAAATAAAATAAAGGATTTAATTAAGAGGATCAAGAATTCAAAGACAGATAGTTTCTATTTGCTAGCACATATAGCTAAATCATTCATGAAGTCAGGAATTTGTGTTATTAGTTAATGTGTTTACAGGTAAGGTTATATGACGTATGGCACTAGGAGTATGTGGGAGATAATTGATACTTTATTTCATGCAAGAAGCTATAGATCTACCTTACATAAACATATATGATTTTCTTTCTTCAATAAACATTGAATTGGATATACATTTTGCGGAGGCAGCATCCAAAATAAAATATATGTTGTAGCTTTAAACAAAACTGACTATTCAGAATGACTTACAGATACTACTAAGACTGTTGGATCATAAGCACTCACTTAGTGATACTTAAATATAGATCAAGTTCCGTTTCATACATTAACATATATACAAACCTTAGGAGGCGGAGAATCCTTTATATACCAGTTTGGAACTGAAAGATGCAAGTGGTTTTAGTGTTGAAGGTCTCTGACAAATATGGAAATTTAGTCGGTTACTTTCTTTAATAGGAAATGTTGGCATGGTTTTTTTCGGAAATTGGGAACAGAAACAAAATTGAGAATGAACTGTTAACATTTCCCAGTTTTCACAGGAAAAATAAACAATTAAAGCATGGGCTATTAAGAATTATGAGTAGTGATAATACTTTTATTTTTAAAAAATGATAAATAGTAAAGGAGCAGGATTGACTGATACACATACACAGTGCAACACAAAGAGACATTTTGAATATGGAAAAAAAAATGAAAAAAAAAGAGGTGAGGACAACTAGTTCCTCAATGATAAAGCTTGCAAACGGAAATGACATCAAGCTGAAGAGCAAAGTTATGTTTTGATCAATACTACTGCAGGTAATAAGATCATTCTCAATGTCCTTTATGTTCCAAACCTAGGTCTTAATCTAGGACAAATGTTGGAAAGCAATTATAGCCTAATCTTTAAGGACCGTACCTGCAAAATCTTAGATTTTAGTGGTTCTGAATTAATGTCAGTAGCAATGAAAGTTGGAAGTTTTCACTGGGATCCTAACTATGATGAAGCCATGTCTAGTATGCTAGATGATGACTCAAACATGTGAAACAAAAGGTCTAAAGCCTCAAGAATCAGCTTGGAGAAAATAATCTCCAAGAGTAAAATACTAAAGGTAAAGAAGAGATCTAAGTTTAGAACCTACAAGTACAGCAACATCAAATCAAAGCTTAAAAAATTTTCAAATTTTGTATTTTAGTATAGTGATAGCAGCTTTTGGGCAAAACTGAAAGACCCTTTACATCAGTGCAATACATGTATTGCACTACGGGAAAAAGGGGGAGGATTGAGTTTTCAGCATGAGAGGTGATGTGGGTTCAGACTTCAGCATCGTGGGATAAGGCACCATAACAAAAATTCCAATTGAAGGTACCATAATCAAATGTGTTATGTGAAATGTGTTATTTGTGTCAACAAAATTTTTGATCTTTTTCGTCCGGTTAATGCACTAGTAATATAAGAAGTCCAAGAATGTATTAAACACAATCAGAAATGGAAAGCAATGCGTTAAACGCAATGTGTGAGGATTTGTTTTTAGTATTTTTAAATTTTTTAAAAAGACAGCAATTGAATCAGCGCTTTAAAAAAATTTAAATCAACGGCTTTAACACAACAGCCTCCAGGAAACCGGCGTTGGATACCAAATTTCCTGTAGTGTCAGCCTCGCTCTTATATTAATTCAACTCCTTTTCTCAGCTGCCAGTTCATTTAAGCTTATGCGATTGTCTTTGTTATGAAAGAAATGCAGCCAGAATTAAATAATAAAATATATTAATTGCAATAATAATGGTTAACATGAAGCAAATGTCATATATTATATATTTAACATATATTATATTCGCAGATCTAAAATAGAACGTATGTTAATTATAAAATTAAATTATTAAATAAAATAATTTACCATGCTAGAAGATAAGTTATGTCCGCGTAGATTGAAACTCTTACCTGTGTTTAATCAAGGAAATCACGGTCGTTGAAGATCTACACTGACCCATCATCAGGACTAACAATAGAGCAAAGCATAACAGAAAAGGCGAGGAAATATAAGACATCATTAACGATTTCCATCTGACGAGACCTGAAACAATGATCCATGAACTGGGTACTGTTGCCTCGCTCGTGGATCTAGTTAAGACAAAACAACACAGTAAAACAGCATAGAAGTTACCTACCAAAATACAAAAAGATGCAATCAACGGAAAAAAAAGGCAAGGAGAGTTATCAGCAATTACCGATCTGAGTAGAATGAAGTAGCAACAGATGCAATTCTTCCGAACATCATATCATCTTACAAGTACTTATCTAAATGATTGATAGAAAAATGAAATGGCACCTTTCTTCAACTCTCTGAAACCCTAACAGTTCTATGCGTAGAGGGGTGAAGGCAGCTGTAACTTTATTAAGGGGCTCCGTGGGCTTCCATTATTTTTTACTTTTTGACCATTTTATTTTGTCGCAGAATATATTATTAGTACGAGTTAATTCAATATTTAAATAAAAAGTATATAAAAGTAGACATCATTTATTTTTAATCATGAGTTTCTTTAAAATTTAAATTAAAGATGTCTTTATGATATAGATTTTAAAATAAAATATATCAATTTATAAATTTATTTTTCTCTCTAAAAGCTGTTTTTAAAGAAAAAAAGCATTTTTTATTATAAATTCATTTAAATGTCTGTTTTAAAAAAAAAAGTAAAAGTTACAAAAAAAGCAAAAATTTGTTTTTTTTAAAGCTCAAAATTTTAACTTAAAAAAAAATAAAAAATAAAAGTTAAATATTTTTTCCAAAAATTAAATACTTTTTTAAAAATTTAAATAATTTTAATATTTATAAAAAATACTTTTAAAATAAATAAGCAGAAAAGCTAAATTTTTTTAAAAGCCGAACAAACGGGCTCTAAATTCTACAATACTTACTTTTTAATACATCAAAACACAATACTATAGTGTAGCTGCCTCGCACATTCCTTACGCCAATGTTGCGAGGGTATTATGTGCTGTGTCAGTGTTCGTGCATCATAGGTATATAGTATACTTTGTAAAAAAAAAAATTATAAAAGGATTTTTCCGTAATTTAAATATGGAAGTTATTAATCTTATGTCACATGAGCTAGTTATTTGATGTGGAGAAACAAAGTTGTGGGCCCATAATTTATAAAAAAAATAGACACAAGATTCCGTGAGTGTGTAATATAAGATAGTTGTCTTATATGATATAAGACAACTATTTTTCTTTAAATATATTATGATATGAACTAAATAAAATTAAAAAAAAAATAAATACATGCAACATTTTTTTGTCCGAACTCAAATTTAAGCTCGGCTCCGCCGTTGGTGTAGCTGCCTCGCACATTCCTTACGCTAATTTTGCGAGAGGGTATTATGGGCTGAATGACTGTGCACTATCAACTCTCCTTTAGGCTTGTTTTTGTCGGCAAAAATTATATTAGACATTTAGACAGACTTTTGTGATTGCAACTTGAGACAATAGTGCACATTTATTTTCAATTACAGTCCCAGGCCAGTTTTCAAGTTTAGGTTGTCGTGTAGTTGATTGAGCGTAAGCACTTTGTACTTGACAAGATGCTGGTTATTTTTGTTTTGGGAGTTGAAATGTGGGGGAGAGGTTCGGTAGTTTCCATCAGCCAAATTAAAACCAACAAGTTGCTCTCTGAAATCTGCCTTCTTTGAATTTGACTTATGAAGGGAATATGAAAAAGCTGTTTGCATTGGTTATGGCAATTTCAAGTTATATAATTATTTGATTTTAAATATAAATCGTTCTATTTTGGAATAAATATTTATTTATTTTTTAAAAAAATATAGAATTGAGTCATTTTAAAGAAGAAAAATATACAAACTAATATTTTTTATTTAAAATTTAAATTAAAAAAACTTCCCTTTTTTTATGAGCAAAAACTTCCCTTTTTAATTACTTGTATTTTTCTCTCATTTAAAATAACACAACTCTACGTCCTTTAAAAACCCTTCTATTATATTTCATACGTTTCACTCGAATAGTTTATTTGAAATAAAAAAAAAACTTTCTCGTAAAGTTTCTTTAGAGAAATTTATAAAAAATATTATTTCTTAAAAAAATGTACTAGGTATGTAGAAAAAATCTATGGGCCTGTTTGGAGCACCTGATAAAAAAGATAACTTATCATATCCTACTTGTATCTCTTGTTTGGTGGGTCAACAGGATATGATTAGCTTATCATATTGTCTCATTTTATCCTATACCATACATGATTTCTTATTCTATTGGGGGAGCTGGGTTAGGATTCAATAGGATAGGATACCAATTTTGGATACCCAATATATCCCCACGCTACCCAATATAATTGTATTTATTGCATTATATTTTATTTTTTATTTTTTCTTTCTCCTTACTCTTTCTACATAATCTTATCATATTGCTAATCAGGTGCTCATCAAACACAGGACATGATATAGATTTATCAGCCTCATATCATCTCCTACCCTTATCAGTCCCATATTATATCCTACCATTATCCTATCATGTCCACCAAACGAGCCCTATATATATATAAATGAAACTCATTTGTTGGAAAGTATGATGATATGTTACTCTCTCCTTAAGTCTCACATTTGTGTTCACACTACAAGTCATTCTAAAACTTTCTTTCTTTAGTAAAAGTTTAAATTAAATAGATATAAAATAGAATCAAAATTTGTAAATAAAAAAAATGAAAAATTATGTGAACAATTTTTTGTAGCAGACAACTCATTTAATATACAACTGCTTTCTACATTGTATTTCCCAAATTAATAATAACTCATTAATTTCTAAAATATTTATTTTAAATTTTGAATTTCATTTAAATTCCAATTTTAAATTTGAATTTTGAATTTTTAAAAAAAGTGAATATTCTGAAATATTTTTTTCTTGAATAAAACAATTCGAAACTATAATACAAAAAGAGAAAAGAATTTCGTACAAGTAATTTTTCAAAAAATATTTAACATAAACATCTTTGAAAATATTTAATCATTTTTTTATGATTAATATCATATTTTTATGTTTAAAACCTCATTATTTTTTTAAATTTCAAAATTCAAACTTGATATATGTGGGAAAAGAGTTCAGCATTAATTGGTGGCAAATATTTTTATTTATATCCCACTACTTTTTTGAAATTTGAATTTTAAATTGATATAGATGGAAAAATAGTTCAACATTTTTTAGTGGTAGACAGTTGTATGGTAGACAGTTGTATTAATAACTCATTACTTTCTTCATGGAAATTGTTAAGTATATTTACAATATTTATTGGAAAAATTATTATTATGGTTAGGTTTAATATAAATAGTTGAAATCAAAAAAATTAAAATTTAATTTACAAATCGAAATAAAATATAGGAAATTTAAGTGAACAATTTATGGTGGCAGATAACTCATTCAATGTCCTACTGCTTTCTACATTGAAATTTTCAAATTAATAATAACTTAACTCCTTTAAATTTTGAATTTATATTTAAATTTGAATTTTGAATTTGAATTTTTAACTTTGAATGGTGGGAAAAATCTTGGAAATTTTTTGGTGGCTGACAGCTCATTAAATATCTCACTACTTTTTCTTTTGCTGTATATTATGAGTAAAAAAAAATCTCTTATTTTTTGCATGGGTAATTGTTAACCCTATCAATGTTGCATAAAAAAAATATTAAAAAATATATTGTAAAATAACAAAATTATTTATATTGTAAAATAAATTTGAAATCTGAAAATAAATTAAGGGATAGGATATTGTGACACCCAAGTTATGTTACACCCATGTGACACCCAGTCAATCTCACCGTTAGATCGCTTATGTTGATTCAACGGTTATATTTATTTCCATCTTTGTATGGTCATGATTTTCCAAATTTAAAGTGAAAGCATTAAATATGGGAAATCATAACCATACAAAGGTAGAAATAAATATAAAATATTAAATTTGGGAAATCATGACCATACAAAGATGGAAATAAATATAACCGTTGGATCAACATAAGCGATCTAACGGTGAGATTGATTGGGTGTCACATGGGTGTAACATAACTTGGGTGTCACAATATCATATCCCATAAAGTAAATGAAAAATTATGTGAACAATTTTTGGTAGCAAGCAGACAACTCATTTAATATCACATTGCTTTCTAGATTGGAAATTCTAAATTAATAATAACTCAACTCTTTTAAATTTTGAATTTATGATTAAATTTAAATTTTGAATTTGAATTTTGAATTTGAATTTTTAACTTTGTAATAGTGGAAAAACTTTTGGAAGATTTTTGGTGGCAGACAACTCATTTAATGTCCCACTACTTTTTTTTGTGGATGGGCAATGCCCTAAAGAAACAAAAAAGAAAGACTACAACAAAGAGTGCCTAGCCCTATGAACAGAGCTAAAATCAGAAAAATATAGCCATCTAATTTCATCTTGATCGAGGTTATGCAATGGAAGATTAGCTAACCAATCAGCATAGCCATTGCCTTTTTGGTGGCAGACAACTCATTTCATGTCTCACTACTTTTCTTTTGTTGTATATTATGAGTAAAAAAGACATCTACTTTTCTTTTGTTGTATATCCCACTATTTTTTGCATTGGTAATTGTTAGCCCTATCAATGCTGCATAAAAAAAACAAAAATATTAAAAAAATTACAAAATAACAAAATTATTTGACATGAACATTTCAAATATACATGTATAACCAATTAAAAAAACGCATAAAAATCATAAATTAAAAGAGAAAAATAATATAAAAAATGTATAATTAATACAATGACCTCTATCATTTTGTACAAAAACTAATTATAAAATTTAATCACTATAAAAATAAAAAAATTAGTTTAGTATGTAAGAAAGAAATTAAACTTTTATTTTTTTATTGAAAGAGTATAATTAACACAATTTCCTATGTCATGAATCAATAACTAAAAGTTATTATTTGGAGAAGGTACACAACCTTCTATGGATATTTTTCACTACTTTTTGTATGAAAAATTATTATGTCTATTAATAATATTTACTATTGGGTGAGAAAAAAATTAATATTTAAAATTTAAATTTTTTAATTTGAATTTTGAACTTGATAGGTGAAAAAAGAGTTCAACATTTAATATTTCTGCATTGAAAAATATATATATATAATAAATTCGAATTTAATATAAAATTATAGATTAAACAAAAAAAGTATTCAAAATTATAAAATTATATTTATAGTTGATAAAAAATATTTTAAATTTTAAATTTAAACTTCATAGGTGGGAAAAAAGTTTAAAATTAGATGTCAAACAACTATATTAATATCTTACTACTTTTTGTATAGGTGATTGTTAAGTCTATTAATAATACCACAATTTACTGCATAGAAAATTGTTAAGCCTTTTAATAATATTTTGTTAACCTATTAATAATTTATTATTATATAATTAAAATAATGAATGGTCTTTTGATACCTATTCAACTTCAATTATAAAGTGTTTGATAAAATATTAAACGTACGAACTCAAATATTTGTCAACTCTTTGTCTCTTATATATGTCACAAATACACAAACTACAAAGAGTCGGTTGAAAGACAGCTATAAAAAATATACATATATATAATAATCTAGATGCAACTATAAGAACAATTTTGTGTGGATAAATATATAAAAACACATCACATTTTTATAAGTAAATTAAAATTTCATCCTTCTACTTTTATAATTAAATTCATAAATTTAATTTTAATTTTTGTAAATACAAATTTGTATAATTAAAAATACTAATGACACAAATTCTTGCAAAAAAGTAATTATTTAAATAAAATGCTGATAGTTAAAGGTTGCAAACTGAACTTGGCCGAGAGAGCCTGCCCGCCCCGCCTGCCAACACGTTTTTATAATTAAATTGTAATTTTACTATTCATTTTTTATAATTAAATTCCTAATTCAGATTTCAATTTTTATAAACACAAATTTATAAAATTCTAAATACTAACGACACAAATCCTTGCAAAAAAAATAATTATTTAATATTATTTTGTAAATCTAATTGTAATAAATGAAAGTTCATCTCTGAGATAAAATATAAAAACCTAGACGCAACTATATGAGCCTTTTTTGTGTGGTTAAACATAAAAATATATTAGATGCTAATAGTTAGAGGTGGTAAACTGGGTTCGGCCCGGAGAGTCGGTCCACCAACATATTTTTATAAGTAAATTAAAATTTCATCCTTCTTCTTTTATAATTAAATTTCTAAATCTGATTTTAATTTTTGTAAATATAAATTTGTAAAATTCAAAAATATTAATGACACAAATCCTTGCAAAAAAATAATTATTTACATAAAATGCTGATAGTTAAAGGTTGCAAACTGGCTTGGCCCAGAGGACTTGCCTGCCCCGCCAGCCATCACATTTTTATAATTAAATTAAAATTTCACTATTCTTTTTTTATAATTAAATCTGTAATTCATATTTCAATTTTTGTAAATAAAAATTAATAAAATTCTAAATATTAACGACACAAATTCTTGAAAAAAATAACTATTTATTATTATTTTGTAAATCTAATTGTAATAAATGAAAGTTCATATCTGAGATAAAATATAAAAATCTAGACGCAACTATAAGAGCATTTTTTTGTGAATAGATATAAAAACTTATTACATGCTAATAGTTAGAGGTGGCAAACTGGGCTATCAACACATTTTTATAATTAAATTAAAATTCCATCTTTCTTCTTTTATAATTAAATTCCTAAATCTGATTTTAATTTTTGTAAATACAAATTTTTAAAATTTCAAATACAAATGACACAAATCCTTGCAAAAATAATTATCTATAGTTATTTTTTAAATCTGATTGTAATAAATGAAAGTCTATCTTTGAGATAAAATATAAAAACCTAAATGTGACTATGACGTATTTATTTTTTACATAACTCATCGAGTAGATAACTATATTTGATTTGCATAATATTGATCACTCTGGATAGGATTTTTTGTATGGTTGATATTTGTAAAGTTCTGAGCTAATACTGTAATTTTTTTCACCTGAAATATAGAACAAGATAGCAACACAGTTTTTTTGTAAGTATAAGATTTGTAGTGCGATTAACCAACCACAGTGGACGACAAAAAAATTGATCTTTTTTCCGCATGCATCGCACGAGTAATATACAAACATATAATAAAAAAATCCCGAGGACAAATAATTTCCTATCAATTCATCCACTTATTGGAAATATTTTTCTATTAAATTTTTATCACAGCTTGCATATTGAAACTGAAATAATTTCCTATCAATTCATCCACATATTTGATGGTATTTTTGATAATTTTTGACTCGCGATTAATTGATTCTTTGAATCTTCTGTAATATATAAATTATTGATTTCTGATAAAGTTAGCATATAAATTCAAACTAATTTTAAATTTTCACTATTAATTACACATATATCAACAAAATTTTATATGCAATAATTCAAATACAATATCTTATGTCACACAATAACAATTTAAAAAGTTGTATATAAGAATTGTGGTCTTATATGAACAATTACTTTTTGATAAATTATAAAGTTACGGTTGGAGGAACAAATATAACAATTTTTTAACTTTTCTTTTTCGTAATTTATTTCATACATGTACATTATTATCCTGTAGCAGTGCTTTTAATCGAAGCTACAAAACATGATGAAAATACGGTACTTGTTTTTTTTTTTTTTCATCTTGTTTCGGTGAATTCTACAGCTGAATCGTCAAGTGATTTATCCATTCTGTAAAAAACTTTGGGATACATCATCTCAAAAGCTAGCTCAAAGAAGAGTGAGAGTGTCCAAGTCTTTATAAACTCTCCATTGGACTTGAAGAGTGGACAATGCAACGGGCCCAGCCTGGGCTTGAAGAGTGGACAATGCAACAGGCCCAGCCTACCTGTGCTAAGAAACTCCATAAGAGAAAGTGGGGGACAGCGAGGCTACCTCATGTAAAGAACCTTGGGATACACCAACCCAAAAGCTAGCTAAAAGGGTGGGAGTGCCCAAGTCTTTATAAACTCCACGTTGCTCATACAATAATGTGGGACTATATATCTCAACACATTCCATCTCCTATGCGTTGGTCCAACTCAGTGATTTTCTAGTATGCCCATCTGCCAAAAAATATGTGTAATCTTGTTTAATAATACCATTTTTACAACCTCCAACCTGATAAAGTAGTTGGTGTTTTTAACAAATTACCAGAATTGTGTTTATGGCAACTTAAATTTTGACTAATGAAAAAAATATTAATTGTAAATAATGGAGAAAGATTTTATCAGGTGTAAGCATAATGGAGAAAGATTTTTCTAAATTTTTATCACTGCTTCCGTGTAGAGATTGAAATAGTTTCTTACCAGCTCATTCACATATTTGGGGCTACTTTTGATAATTTTTTAATGGGAATTATATCTCTCATGTTATATGAACTAATTTTTTTATCATGTTAAGAAAAAGACAATTTATATAATATTAAAAAAAGTGAGAAAACACATTATTCAATAAATTAATTTTGTCTTTTTTTTAACATGACATAAAATTTGGTTCATCATGAGAGATATAAATCTCTTTTTTAATTCATGATTAATTAACTATCTGATCTTCTTTATTTCAGATAAATTTAACATAAAAATTCGAACTAAATTTAAATTTTCATTGTTAATTACACATATATTAACAAAAATTTATGTGTAATAATTTAAATATGATTTCTAATGTTACCACCAAAATAAAAATAAGCTTTATGTAATGGGTCGTATTGTTTTGCAAATTAATGGCTTGATTGATCCTAACTTGTTATTTGGTATGGGCTTTTTTCGGCTCGGCCCAACATTTTTAAAGTTACACCAGTAATTTGAGAACCTTTAAATAATTTCGCCTTACTCAGATTTCAAGAATAATTTAACCATAGAAATTAATTTGTGGAAAATATTAGTACTTTTAAAAAAATGTGACATTTTAAATGAAAAAAATACTAATTAATATTTTTTATTTAAAATTTAAATTTAAAAAAAATAATGAACTTTCTTTTCTTATCACATAATTTTTATTATTTATCTTATTGTCTAAATATTTTATAATTGCTTTGCATTTATTCTCTAAAAAAATACCCCATGTCTTTTGAAAGGAAAAACATCACACTCTTAATTTTATTTTATAATTGATTTGCATTTTTATTTTGTTACCGACCTACAAAAATAAGTCCAAAAATTGCGAAAAAATATGAAGTTGAAAATAAAAAATAAAAGCAGCACGTCTCGGAGAGAACTGGCTTCAGGGCAAGAAAGATAGCTTCAGGTTTTTTCACTAATTTCTTTTGCTCCGCCGCCGAAAGCAACCACCATCAGCAGCAGCGGCATAGCCGCCGGCGACGAATAGGTATTTTTATTTTTTTGGTTGAACTTTTGCTTTGTGCATTCCTTCTTCTACTAGCTTCAGGTTTTTTCAGTTTGTAGATTTCCTTTTCAACTTTCAACTGTTACGTGCATTATTACATGGCTTATGTATATATACATTAAACTTTTCATCTTTGGCCCTGAAAAGTGTAAACAGGTTTTTGTTTCTAGGAATATGGACACAGCAAATGAGACAGGTTCTGTGAATTATTATCATTATTATTATTATTTTCAGTTTTGGTTTTTGAAATTGTCTCAATTATTTATTTTCTTTGCTTATTTTTTATGGATATTTCAGAGAGGAATTTGGATGGAGAGAACAATGTAAGAAAAAGGAGCAGAAAAAAATCCATGACTGGGAATGGAGCAAGAGAACATAAGGAGCAATTACAGAAACTTCAGCAGAAGGTTAGACTTGTTGTATTGGTCTTTCTTAGTACATGTTAGCATTAGTATATATGTGGTTTAGCTTGTATCTATTTTTAAATGGTGCTTTGAGTTAGGATTAAGGTCCACCATATTGTTCTTATTTTAAAGGTTCTCTATAGTTTAAAGGTCCACCATTGTCTCAATGAAGCTTGAAGCATGTAACCGCTTGAAATTTTAGTATAGTAATCAGACGTAGGAAATACAAAGACAAATACAAGGAAAGATTTCAATGTAGGTTTGATAAAGTAATGCACTGAAGTAAATGTTTGCATGTGTGAAATTTGAACTAGATGGTGCTTGATAGTTGATAGGGAATTTTCTCTTATTAAATTTATTCAGCTAGGTTCTATTGGTGATGTTATTAAGAACTTTTCCATTTCAGGACCCAGAATTTTATGAGTTCTTGAAAGAGCATGACAAGGAGTTGCTTCAATTCAGTGATGAGGATATTGATGTGAGTATGTTACATTTACACTTTTTGTAGGTGTCTTTTTTCTGCTTAATACATAAATTGTAATGGATATCTGTCCGTGAAATATTATTGATGGATATTTCAAATAGTTTTCATGGGTAATATGTAATATCTTCTCATGCCTCCTAGATATTGGCAAGTTTTGCGTAGTTAATTAGCTTGTCCTGGTTATCTGCCTCTTGTATTCTTTTATTGTTGATTTTTGGTTTCCTTTCAGAAGGATATCTTATCCTCCATTTTTTGTTCTTATTTCTAACTTTTTGTCATCAAAAAAAGATTGTTTCGGTGGGTAAATGGGTATTGGGTTTTACTTTTGAGACTTCTTTGTGGCACAACTACAGGGAATATATATATAATGTGGGTTAGCTCATAATGGATGGGATGCCAACCCACCAACATTGCAAATTTGAAATTTTACTTCTCAGTGATTTATTTCTTTTAGACCAATAGATCCTTTAGGTTCCAGTGATGGTTCTCCTATTAGGTTTTGGGAGGTCACCTGGGAAGGGTAGGATCTTCATATTTCTTGGATTTTTTTAATAATGAGTTACGGCCCCCTTTAGTTTTACTTGAGTCTTATGTTCTAATCTTTCATCAAGGTAGGAGGGTTTGGATATGCTTCTCGGGGATTTGCTTCTTTTAGACCAGTAGATCCTTTAGATTCTGGTGACGGTTCTCCTATTAGATTTTTGGGAGAACACTTGGGGGTGGGGTCTTGATATTTATTTTATTTTTCAACAACGAGTTACAGTGCCTTCTCGTTTTACTTGAATCTTATGATCTATCCTTCAATCAAGATAGAAGAATTTGGATGATGCTTCTTGTGTTTTTGTTGGAATATTGGTTGAAGAGGACTGCCCATATTGTTAAGGTTGTGCCTTTGCCCTGTTATGGTATAGAATTTCAAGTTCATGACCTCTAATTGTGCATTTGCTCCTTTTTATTTTAAGGAAATCTCTATTACGACATGCAAAGAGTTGTACAATTTTGTTCCATTTTTTAGCTTCTTTGGCTTGCTGTATTATTTTCTTTCTGCTATATAAGGGGATATTTTATCCTCCACTAATCCGGGAAACAGCTTCTTTGCAATTATTTGCAAAGGTAAGACTGTGTACAAAGATTTTTCTCACCCCACACTTGTTAGTCGGGTTTAATTTGGGAGTGGTTTTTTTTAATATGTAATTTTTTCCCTTCTTTCTAATAATGATGTATTTTATTCTTTTATACCCCCCCCCCCCCCTCCCAAAAAAAAAAGCTGCAAATTCTTGTAATAATTTCCCCCTCCTTGAATTTCAAATATCATCAATGCAAAACAATCAACCTTTTAGCTCTCTCTCTGTCTCACACACACATCCAATAGCTGTACTAAGGTTTTCTAACCATCCTTTGAACGTTTTTCAACATGAATGAATTTCTATGAAGACTTTTTTTATTTAATCCCTATTCGAGTAATATTAAAAATATTGGTTTTGGTTTTATTTATAGTTAGTGATTTATATGCATCATTAAATAGCTATTCATATGATGCTCTCTTAGTATTAGAAACTAATTAACTCTTTTTGTTATTTGTCCAGGAAGATGTGGGTACTGACATGGAAGATGGAGATCTGCAGATAGATGAGGGGGCCAGGGAGCATGAGACTCAAGAAAAGGAACAAAAACCTTCTAAAAAAGTTATAACTACTTCTATGGTTGATTTGTGGTGTAAATCAATTCAAGAAAATGGGAGCATAAGCGCAGTTCGTTCCCTGATGAGGGCTTTTAGGACAGCATGCCACTATGGCGATGATGGTGAGAATGAGTCTATGACAAAGCTTAGTGTAATGTCAAGCACTGTGTTCAACAAAATAATGATGACTGTACTTAATGAAATGGATGGAATACTAAGAAATTCGTTGAAGCTTCCTGCTTCTGGTGGAAAGAAAGAGACAATAACAGATTTAATGACCACAAAGCCTTGGATGAGTCATGGCCATTTAGTGAAGTCTTACCTTGGAAATGCGCTCCATGTTTTGAACCAAATGACCGATACAGAAATGATATCATTTACTTTACGCCGGCTTAAATATTCTTCATTGTTTTTGGCTGCTTTTCCTTCGCTCCTAAGGAAATACATTAAGGTATGAATAGGCTATTGTTCATCTAATTGTTGTTCTCTACAGTATTTGTTCACTTCATCAATGAACACTGGTGCTTTTAAGTCTGTATTACACATGCCTGCTGATGCAAATTGATTGTGGTATCGTTTGGTCCTCTACAGTCATTTTTTGATAGATGGATTGTATAAATGGATGGACAGCAATCAACTAAAACCTTTTCTAAACCTTGTATTTAATGATACATTGTTCCTCCCCTCCATACACAAGATTAAGAATAATATCATAAAAGGTGCACAGTGAACTTGCTGTTGCATGCGATCCTATTTCCTTATAGGAATATGCTTCTTCAATGTGTGTGTGATGCTTGCCAATGAAAAAGCTGCGATGTAGAATACATTTTATGTAGCCTGTGGGACATTATGACATTCTGGGATGTAGTGTAACATATCTTGTCTATTGGTTTAGTGAACTAATTTTCCTGTTGAATTTATCAGGTGGTCCTTCATTTCTGGGGTACTGGTGGAGGTGCCCTTCCGGTTGTTTCGTTTCTATTTATGAGAGATTTATGCATCCGTATTGGATCTGGCTGCATTGATGAATGCTTCAGGGGAATATATAAAGCCTATGTTTTGAATTGCCACTTTGTAAATGCAGTGAAACTTAAACATATCCATTTTCTTGGCAATTGTGTCATTGAACTTCTTGGTGTGGATCTTCCAACTGCATATCAACATGCCTTTATTTTCATCCGGCAATTGGCTATGATTTTAAGGGAGGCACTTAACACAAAAACAAAGGTGCTGTTTTATCTTCCCAGTACTTCTTGTTATTCTCCCTATGTACTGTAAGAAGTGCCTCATAACATTTTTTGAATTTATGGAATTGTACTAACAAACTGGTTATATTTGGATTTTAATTAGTGTCACTTCATACAAGCTTGGCATAATTTTCTATTATTGTCTGCTGATTTGTTCTTATCAGCACCATCTTCTTCTTGAACCTTATGTGTCAAGGCTTCAAAGTTCTGTTATCTGTCTGTTACGAGGTACACTTGATTATTACAAAAAATTAGTTAGACAAAATAAGGGTCTGGTGTTACAGATAGGGATACGGAAAATATAGAAAGACTGTAGGTTGAAGCACAAATTTCCTCTAGCTCGTACCTGTATGTAGACTAGTGGGAAGATTATACAGTTGTGTAGTTGTCTGACTCTCACCACCCTTCAACCATGCTACAATCAATCACCTAGAGTCAATCCTCCCAGTTAATCAATCTTCATTTTAGGGTTTAAAACATCCTTAATCATTATGCTTTCCTTTTCTTTTACCCTTGCTTGGTTGGAGCTTTTACAAATTGAAACAAATTGTTTGTGCATTTTTGACACTACTTATTTTATTTTACTTATATTGCTCTTTCTTTGAATGTATTATTTAGGAATCTTTCCGCAAGGTTTATGAGTGGAAATTCATGAACTGTCTTGAACTTTGGACCGGTGCAGTCTGTACCTACAGTTCAGAATCTGACTTTATGCAACTTGCATATCCACTGACCCAAATAATTTCTGGGGTTGCTCGTCTAGTTCCCACAGCCAGATATTTTCCCCTTAGGCTGAGATGTATCAGAATGCTGAACCAGATTGCAGCTTCTACCCATTCTTTTGTACCAGTGTCTATGCTTCTTTTGGACATGCTGGAGATGAAAGAGTTGAATAGACCCCCTACAGGAGGTGTTGGCAAAGCTGTTGACTTACGCAGTATACTGAAGGTACTGATAACATGAATCAATGACAATGTGCACTTTTTGAGCTCCACCTAACCTTAGAATTCTTCCATATTAGGTTAGCAAGCCGACCCTAAAGACACGAGCATTTCAAGAAGCATGTGTTTTTTCTGTGGTTGAGGAGCTTGCTGAACACTTGTCTCAGTGGAGTTATTCCGTCGCATTTGTGGAGTTGTCTTTTATTCCACTTGTGAGGTTGCGTAGCTTTTGCAAATCAACCAAAGTTGAGAGATTTCGAAAAGAAATGAGGCAGCTTATACGCCAGGTATCTCTACTAAATGGTCATAAAATACAATGGTGATACTTAGATTTACTTTCATGTTTTATTATTCTCATGCAGCAGATCTTGTAGCATTCATTTCTAATATTTCATTTTCACACACTTAGATTGAGGCAAATTCGGACTTTGTGAATGGAAGGCGCATTTCAGTTTCCTTTTTACCTAGTGACCCTGCTGCATCATCTTTTCTTGAGGTTTGCTCATAATTTCTCTTTACTTATTTGGAATGTTTGAGTTTTGATTATTTCCTCGTTGGATTTGTAGCTTGCTCATTTTTTCAATTCTTCAAGCTCTCTCTCTCTCTCTCTCTGTGTGTGTGTGTGTGTGTGCGTGTGACATACCATGCTATTTAGTCATTTGGTTGTGGTCTAAATAGCTGGCTTTGCACATGAATTTGATTGGACAAAGCCATTTCATTTATGTTTAATGGGTTACTTGTTATTTTCTTTTCCCTTTCCTTAAGTGTTTTTAGATTATCATCCCACTTATTCCAAGCCTCAATTTTACTGTACCTTAAATTCAATTTATAATTGAGAATTGAAGGGTGAACCTGATTTTGTTAGGATGAAAAGAAGTCAGCCTCTAGTCCACTGTCAAAGTACGTTATAACACTCCGCCAGAGAGCAGAACAAAGAAATAATTCATTAATGGAATCCAGGTTTGAACTTTGAAGTCATGTTCAATCGCATAGATTACGGTATCCAACTCTTGATTATGGTTAAGATAGAGGTTTCTAACATAACATGAAAATTTTCAGTGTTCTTGTGGGAGACGAATCCTCTGTTTTTGCGAATGAAATATCAGAAAGTGATGAAGAGGATGATGCTAGAAAGAATGAGAAAGGCGCTGCTGTCTTTAGTTCATCATGGTTACCTGGAAATGACTCTAAGTATGACTCTTTTTCCTTGTTTCTCTTCCGCTGACAAACTTAGCTGCACACACTAATACATGCATCATTCATGCACATCTCCATACATGGACATTGACACAAATTTCGTTGTACTTTTGTCTGAGTGATGCTTTGCTTTCAGGATAAAAAATCCTACAGAAACAAAGAGAAAGAAGAGAAAGCAGCAGAAAGATAGAGCCATAGATGACGATGTTGTGGAGGACTTGGTACTTAGTTCTGATGAAGATTGGCCTTCAAGCGGTAGCCCTTCTGCTGGGAAAGATGATAATGTAGATCATTTACCTCCAAAACAAAAACGCAAGCAGAAGCACAAAACAAAAAGGTTGAAAAATAAATAAATCTCACGTGGGAAGGAAAGAGTGACATGTCTAGTTAGCGACCCCTCTCACTATTCATACCTCTATGGGGAAAATGAGAGCGCCAATTTTTGTAGTTTTATCAAACGTTTGCATTTTACCTTCGAAGTAAAGACATATATCTGAATGTAATGGCAGCTACAATTATAACTGGTTTTCAGGACACTTTAGTTCCAGCTGCAACAGCGATGCCATTTAAGTTTTTGAATTAATACAATGAAGTTATATTCTTTGGGAATCATGTTGGTATTTCCTCCAAAACGAAAAAAAAATGATATTAGGTTGCAGACTTTATTTTAAAAGTTATAAAGTCATATGAAAAAGTTAATATAATATTAAAAGTTACACGTTCATAATTAAAAAGTTATAAACTGAGATAATAAAGTAACAAATTGGGATGTAACTTTCTCACATAACTTTTGACATAAAATGTGTACTAGAATATAGTATTTTCTCTTTTGAACGGGGGTATCAAAGTAACCATATCGATCACTTAAACCTACAGTCATACAGCTACATATGGCTCTGATGCCCAACTCTTTGATCCTGTCACATAAGCCTCCAAAAAGGTTGGAATGACACGTTGACAGGCACAAATAGAGGTGCTCATTGCACATAGCGCCTCTTCCTTTGATAAAAAAGTACGATGTTACTTGGTGCTACCATTGTCCCTCCACTTTTCATTTTATTAAAATTAGATTCATTAATTCATTACATATTATTAGTTAATCTTTTTTAAAAATTCATGCTATTCGATTTGTCATTAATGCTAACTGATCTAGACCCATCCCTTGGGAGTCTTGGACTGATCACTAACAAAAATAAAATTAAAAAAAATATTTAAATGCTATCCAATAAATTGTACAAACAATGCTTTCATTTTACAAGTAATTTAATGCGAATGGGTATTGATGACAAACATGGCTATGAATACACAGTGATTTAATGAGAAAATATAATTATGTTTCATATGATTTTCTATTCAAAAGTAAAATTAAATAATTTAAACAAAAGTGATTTAATGTGGTTAATAACTTAATATGATTCTAAAATGTGAAAAAAAAATGAATAGCCAAGTAATTTGATGCGATTATATTTTAAAAAAATTGGTTAATTTATTTTTTATATATATGAATCAATTATAGATATAGATATAAAAAATATGAAAAATAATCTGAACTGTATCATTTTATCAAAATTATTTTATAAAATAAGATTGTGTTATAAAATAAAATAATAAAACATAACCATTTTATATAAAAAAAATCATTTTCGTGTAAATATTTTTATTCATAAGTGGTGTTTATTGTTAATATTCAAAATTATGTTATAATAACTGATCTATAATTAATGAATAAATATTTCAATATGAAAAGGCTCGTTTCTATAATTCATAATATAGCACTAAATATAGATGTGGAAATATGCAATTTTGTATTTATATGTATACATGAATTATCTGGTATTTATATGTAACCTAATACTTGTATCGGTAAAAAAGAATCTTTCACTCCTACCATCTCATCTCTGTTTTTAATTACTTCTCAGCTTAACTCGGTTGTGCCACAACTTGCTACTCTTGTTACTGGGTTTGGGTCGACCTCTTTTTCGTGGGCCAGTTCTATGCTGTCTCTCTCAATAAGGATGGGTCAGACCCCTATAGCGCTGCCTAATCAGATAAGCCTAATGTTGGGCTTCCTCCTTCAATGCTAAGCTCAAGTCCATTGATGAGTTTCTCAAAAATTCTAAACCTTAAATCCTAAATTCCACCTCCTCTATATATTCATTAGTTGAGGATGGAAGCTAGGTCAGAAGTGAGAGAGAGAAATTTGAGAGATAATTATTTGATTGTTTGAGCAAAGCTTTATGCTTTGCATTTGAGAGATCTCTAGAGAGAGTTTGAGTGTATCATCGTAGTTTGATTTTCACCATTGTTGGAGAGGTTGAGTTAACTACCACATTGGTGTATTTGATTCTTTGTAACCATTATTTTCATAGTGGATTCTTGATCTGGACTAGGTCCCGTGGATTTTTACTTCTTCATTGGAGAAGGTTTTTCCACGTTAAAAACTGCTTGTGTTCTCTCTCTCTCCTTCTCCTCTCTCTCCCGTTTTTCGTTTTGATTTTCCGCTGCGCTGCCCGACCTGGTAAAGTTCAGGACGAGGTATTGCCGAGATCCGAGATCAGGATCTTGTTGATTGACTTCCGCACAAAGGCTGTAGAAGCCGAACTTGAGGGAACCGATTCTCCAACAGTGTTACCAGAGCCCGAGTTCGACACGTTCTGAGGGAGACGAGATGGAGACCAGTGGCATAACCAATGATGGAGACATGTTCAAGCTGACCGCAGACAATTTCACATACTGGAGACCGATGATGGAAGATCATCTCTACTGCAAAGATTTGCATGAGCCTATTATCCTTGATGAGAGACCGGCAGATAAAACTGATAAGGAGTGGGAGATCCTGAGTCGGAAGGCGGTAGCCACGATCAGGAAATATATTGATAAAAGTCTCTTTGTGCACGTGTCTGAGTTCACGAACACGTATGAGTTGTGGACGAAGCTAGAGTCCATGATTCAGACTCCCAGGAACAAAGCATACCTGGTTCGCCGACTTGTGAAGCTCGAATACAAGAACGACATGAGCATGATTGAACACCTCAACACCTACAAATGTATTGTGAATCAGCTGTCAAAAGCTGAGATGGAAATTGATAACGAGATGCAGGCTTTGCTGTTGTTGAGCTCGCTGCCAGAAAGCTGGGATACTCTGGTGGTGACTTTGAGTAATTCAGCTCTAGAAGAAAAGTTGAAGATGGATGTCATAACCGATAGCCTCCTGAGCGAAAAAGTCAGGAGAAGAGAACGAGGTGTGTCTAACACATCTGAGGCCAACGTTGCAGAGAACAAAGGAAAATTCAACTCCCGGGGTAGAAGTAAAAGCCGCGGTCGAGATCAAGATAGAAGAGGAAAGTCCAGAGGTCGGTCAAAGCCGAAATACGAGTTGGAGTGCTTCTACTGTGGGAAGACAGGACATAAGAAGCCAGACTGCTGGACTTTGCAGAATGATGAGAAGAACGGCTCTGTGAAGTCGGATCAGATTATTCCCAAGAAGAGGGAAGACGAGCACCACTGCGGTGGCTGCAAACTCGAATGTCGAGATATTCCTCCTTGGTGAGGATAATTATTTGAATGTTGCATATGATGACTGCACCTGGATTGTTGACTCCGGTGCCTCCTTCCATGTTACTCCATACAAAGGTTTTTTCTCCTCTTATCGAGGTGGTGATTTTGGAGTCGTGAAGATGGAAAATCAGGTGACTGGCAAGATTGTTGGTGTCGGTGATGTAACTCTGACCACAAATGTCGGATGCCGACTTGTGTTGAAGGATGTGAGGCATGTACCTGACATGCGTTTGAACCTAATCTCGGTAGGCAAGCTTGATGATGCCGGGTTAGTGAACTACTTTGGTAGTGTTAGATGGAAGCTGACCAAGGGAAACTTGGTCGTGGCCCGAGGTAAGAAGGAAGGCTCCTTGTACGTGATGCAAGGAAAGATCAATGGCGGAGAAGCCAATTCTGTCCGAGATGGACCTAGCTTGGAGCTATGGCGCAAGCGCCTCGGCCACTTGAGCATGAAAGGGCTCCAAATCCTGCACAAGAAAGAATTACTAACCTGGTTGAAAGGCCAAGCGTTGGAGAGTTGCACGCATTGCCTAGCTGGAAAGCAGCACCAGGTTTCTTTTGTGAGACCAGATCAACCAAGAAGACGAAGGTATATTCTTGACCTCGTCCATACTGATGTTTGCTCCATGTCAGAGAAATCTCTTGGAGGAGCTCAGTACTTTGTTTCATTTATTGATGACCATTCCTGCAAAGTGTGGGTATATTTGTTGAAGACTAAAGACCAGGTACTCCATTCCTTTAAAGAATTCCATGCAATGGTTGAAAGGGAGACTGGTAAGAAATTGAAGGTGGTTCGATCTGACAATGGTGGTGAGTATTGCAGCCAATTTGATGCATACTGCAGAGCGGCCGGGATCCGACTTGAGAAGACACCCCCCCCAAGACTCCACAGTTGAATGGACTTGCTGAAAGGATGAACCAGACTATTGAAGAGAAGGTCTGAAGCATGTTATCCAATGCCGGATTGCCGAAATCATTCTGGGGAGAAGCCGTCAGAACTGCTGTTGACCTAATCAACCTCTCACCATCACGGCCACTTGAAGGAGAAATTCCAGAAGAAGTCTGGACAGGTCGGAAAGCGGTCTATAATCAACTGAAGGTGTTTGGATGCCGAGCTTTTTTATGTATATCCCTAAAGATGGAAGGGCAAAGCTTGATGCGAAGACTAAAGAATGCATTTATCTTGGTTCGCTGAGATGTGAGTTCGGGTTCCGACTTTTGGATCCAATCAATAAGAAGATAGTGAGAAGCCGATATGTGATATTTCACGAAGATGAGACTATTCATGACATCTTGAAGCCCAAAGTTCGAGTTACTGTCAGACATGAAGAACCTGTTCCTCCTGTCCGAGCTGAAGCAGGGGGATAAAATCAAGAGAATGAAGAAATTGATGACCAGTAACAAGCTGATGATGAGGTCCGAGTTGATGATGAGATCCAGGATGAGAATGATGAACCGGGTTCTTAAGCTGAAGAACAACTGAATATCCAACTCGCGAAAGAAAACCTTCTACAAGGTACCCATCTGATGAATACACCGTTGTTGCTGAAGACGGTGAGCCTCAGAGTTATGATGAGGCTGTGACGAGCTCAGAGAGAGAAGAATGGGAAATGGCAATGCAAGATGAGATGAAGTCTCTGCACGAGAATCAGACTTATGAGCTGACCGAGTTTCCTGAAGGAAGACGAGCTCTGAAAAATAAATGGGTCTACAAGATTAAGAATGAAGAGAACGGGCAGAAGCCGAGATACAAAGCCCGGATTGTAGTGAAAGACTGTAATCAGAAGAAAGGAGTAGACTTTGAGGAGATTTTTTCTCCTGTGGTGAAAATGACCTCGGTTCGAACCGTGTTATCTATGGCGGCTTCAATGGACCTCGAGATAGAACAAATGGACGTGAAGACGGCATTTCTTCACGGTGATTTAGAATAAGAAATATATATGGAACAACCTGAGGGGTTCCGAGCTTCAGACCAAGAAGACTTGGTATGTCGGTTGAAGAAGAGCCTCTATGGCTTGAAGCAAGCACCTAGGCAGTGGTACAGGAAGTTTGAATCATTCATGACTGATCATAAGTTTGAGAAGACAGAAGCTGGCCATTGTGTATTTGTGAAGAGGTATGAGGCTAGAGATTTTTTGATTTTGTTGTTATATGTTGACGACATGCTTATTGTAGGGAAAGACAAATCTAGAATAGCCGCCCTAAAAAAGGCGTTGAGCTCGTCCTTCGCAATGAAGGACCTCATCCCTGCAAAGCAGATACTCGGAATAAAGATTATCCGAGATAGACAGAAGAAGCTACTGTGTCTAAGTCAAGAGAAGTATATTGAGAAGATTCTGAAGAGATTCAGCATGGACAAAGTCAAAACAGTTTACACCCCCCTAGCCGGACACATAAAGCTGAACCAGAAACAATGTCTGAGATCTGATGAAGATAAAGATGAGATGATGAAGGTCCCGTACCAATCCGCCGTCGGAAGCTTGATGTATGCAATGGTTTGCACTAGACCCGACTTGGCATATGTTGTTGGAATGGTAAGCCGGTATTTGTCAAACCCCGGCAAAGAGCACTGGGAAGCAGTGAAGTGGATCTTCAAGTACCTCCGAGGTACGACATACTTATGTCTCCAATTTTGAGAAGGCAAAGCTGAGTTGCAAGGCTACTCGGATTCTGATTTAGGGGAAGATTTCGACTCGAGGAAGTTGACGACGGGATACATGATGAGATTTGCCGGAGGAGCTGTCTCTTGGCAATCAAGACTTCAGAAGTGTGTTGCATTATCGACAACCGAGGCTGAGTACATTGCCGCGACTGAGGCAAGCAAAGAGATGCTGTGGATGAAGAAGTTCCTCATGGAACTCGGCCATGACCAAGACAAGTACGAGATGGGTTGTGACAATCAAAGCGCAATCCATCTTGCGAATAATTCAACCTATCACTCCCGCACTAAGCACATTGATGTGAGGTATCACTGGATCGGGATGTGGTGGAAGGTGGAGAGCTCGAACTAGTCAAGGTGCACACTGACCATAATTGGTCTGACATGATGACGAAGCCGGTTCCAGCAAGAAAATTTGAAGACTGCTGCGAAGGAGCCGGGTTGATGCTGAAGCCGACGCATTGAAGTCGGAGGGGGAGATTTGTTGGGCTTCCTCCTTCACTTAGCCCAAGCCCATAGATGGGTTTCCTAAAAACCCTAAACCTTAAACCCTAAATTCCACCTCCTCTATATATTCATTAGTCGAGGGTGGAGGCTAGGTCAGAAGTTAGAGAGAAAAATTTGAGAGATAATTATTTGATTGTTTGAGCAAAGCTTTATGCTTTGCATTTGAGAGATCTCTAGAGAGAGTTTGAGTGAAACATCTCTAGGGTAGTTTGATTTTCACCATTGTTGGAGAGGTTGAGTTAACCACCACATTGGTGTATTTGATTCTTTGTAACCATTATTTTCATAGTGGATTCTTGATCTGGACTAAGTCCCGTGGATTTTTACTTCTTCATTGGAGAAGATTTTCCCACGTTAAAAACTGTTTGTGTTCTCTCTCTCTCCCGTTTTTCGTTTTGATTTTTCGCTGCGCTGCCCGACCTGGTAAAGTTCAGGACGAGGTATTGCCGAGATCCGAGATCAGGATCTTGTTGATTGACTTCCGCACAAAGGCTGTAGAAGCCGAACTTGAGGGAACCGATTTCCCAACACCTAATACTACCATTAGCATGAAAATAATAATAAAATCGTTACAACTTACAAGGTGTATATCCTCAACCCGAATTTGAACAAAGATTAGTGTTTGTAATTTTTAAAGATATATAATTATGTTATTTTAAATGATAAAAAGACACAAAAAATAAAAATCATGAAAGAGTAAGTGAGTGATTTTTTAATTTATATTTTAAATAAAAAAATAATAAGTTGTGTCTTTCTCTTACTTAAAATGACATAACTATATATCCTTTAAAAGGATAAATATTTTTCTCATATATATATATATATATATATATATATATATATATATATATATATGAGAAAATATTTCTCATATTATAGGAGAATAGTTTTCTCCTATATTGATCATTCGATTTTCGTATAATTTTTTTATTTTTAATAGATTTGGATCCCACATAAAATATGCCTGTAACATGAAAAAATTGAGTAAATTCCATCATATATATATATATATATATAGGGATATGATATTGTGACACCCAAGTTATGTTACACCCATGTGACACCCAGTCAATCTCACCGTTAGATCGCTTATGTTGATCTAACAGTTATATTTATTTCCATCTTTGTATGGTCATGATTTCTCAAATTTAATATTTTATATTTATTTCTACCTTTGTATGGTTATGATTTCCCAAATTTAATGCTTTCACTTTAAATTCGAGAAATCATGACCATACAAAGATGGAAATAAATATAACCGTTGGATCAACATAAGCGATTTAACGGTGAGATTGACTGGGTGTCACATGAGTGTAACATAACTTGGGTGTCATAATATCCTATCCCGTATATATATATATATATATATATATATATATATATATATATATATTATTTGAATTACGTTAGCAACAAGGCAGCAAATACTGGATTAATTATCCGTGTTCAAATTACTAGCTGTAAATTTGTATGGTGATGTTAGTTTGTGTTTTTTGTTTATAATTTCTAGATTTTTAAAAGTTAACAAATGAGTTAATGAGCTCTCACTCACACACATTTTATCTTGTTAAAGACAAACTAATCGTTCGTTAATGATGTGTAAAATAAGGATAGTGACAGGTTGGCGGTGTCCGAGGGATGCGCTAGGTCTACATGGGTTAGGAGGGACACTGACCAAAGTGTCATCTTTGGATAAAAAATTTAACAACTGTCACGTCAACAGTAAATTTTGTCAAAATGACACGCGGCATAATTCGCTACACAGTGTAGCGAATTATGCCGCGTGGCATTTTGGCAAAATTTACTGGTGATGTGGCAGTCTGGTAATTTTTTTGTCCAAACGTGACAAAATGATCACTCTCCCTGGGTTAGGAAATGAGAAATATGAATGGAGTTGAGAGTGAGAGTGAGACTGACACGATACTTGGGGGCCATTTTTGTGGTTTAAATGTGTTTAGATGGCGTTTGGTTGAGGAGAAATTTTTTGAATATTAGGAAAATGTAATTGATAGGGAAATGGTTGAAAAGTGAGTTTGGTAGGAAAATGTAAAAAATGTTGTTTGGTAGGTAAATATATTACCAGACAAATTGGATTAAATTTTCTGAATCTATGTTTGGTTGAAGAAAAAAGATTGATGGAAAAATAAATTGAAATCACTCAAATAATCTTGTAAAATATTTGAAAGTTGTTATTGCTGTTTGCATACATATATGAATTGCTGTTTGTAAAATGGAATGGTTTCAATCGAGAAACAAGAACATTGTTAAATTTTTTTGTTCCATTGGAGGAGACGTATGACTTAAAAAGAGAGTTGAAATTAGGGACAATTTTATCAGCAAATTGTTCAACTTTTTTTTCCCCGGCAAAACCTAAAATACCATCATGAATATGATTTTTTGGAACAATGCTTTCAATAAAATTTTGCACATAAAAGAGGTTGGCTGGGTAAACAAGTCTCCTATCTAAATTTTGTAAATTCTTCTACCAAAAGTAGATAAGAACAAAACCCATTTCAAGTTGTCTAGACATCCCTCCTAAAAACCTCTATCAAATACTCCCTTAGTCTTTAGAAACTGAAATGTTTAGCTTCCCCAAAATTGCAAAGAATCCTTGTTTTCTCTGCATGTTAGAAACCAAAAAAAAAAAAATGTAGTTTTATTCAATGCTTGGACCAAAAAAAATGTAGTTTTACTGTAAAAGAAAGAAACTTCTAACAACTCTCTTATGTACACATTTTTTTTTGTTTAAAAAAATAGGATTTGTATTTGTAATTTAACATGACACAATAAACTTTCCTAGATACACAACATTTTGTGGGGCCCACACTTTTTGAAGGAAAAAAAAAAAAATTACTGCACGCAAAACGAATTTCTATAACATTACATAGTCGACATAACTCTTATAAAATCCAAAAAAAATATATTTTGCTTTTTCCGGTGGTATATCAAAACAAACCTCAAAACCCTCTCACTTCAGCTTCCAATCCACTTTACCGCCACATATCCCAAATGCACCATTTGGTACACTCAATCTCAACCCGAATCCACTCGGCGGCGTCCAAATATTTGAGTTGAAGCTAAAAGCTTATTGAATGTTATCTTCTGTTTTATGAGTTATTCTCTGTTGTTTCAGCTTGGTTATGAACTTAATGAGGACCAAGTTCAGAGTTTATTTTGGCGTTTCAAAGCAGTGGCTGAGCAAAAAAGGGTAAATAAGAACTAGTGATTTTCTTTCCTTTTGAGTGCTACTGATTTTAATGTGCAAGGCATTAGATCTAGCTTGCATTGACTCAGTCAACAATTTGGGTCTAATTGTCTTTAGATATGCGATATTTTATATCAGGAAATTAATATTCAGTAATAAATGAAGTTAGCTCTTTTCTGTATAGAATAAAAACTGGAGGATGAGATAATGGGTTCTATATATGTTAGACGCATGGTTAACTTGCTTTTATTTTGCATCAGAGGGTTACTCATGCTGACCTCAGCATTGGTATCAGATGAAGTTTTTCAGGCAGAGCCTATCTGGAAGCTTGGTGATTTGCAGGTAAATTGAAATTTGTTTTGAAATATGATGTAATGGCTTGACAACAATAGAACAAACATAAGCTAATCAGTATCCATCCAGTGCAGGTGACTTGTGGAACTCTTGGTCTTTCGACTGCAACTGTCAAACTTGTTAGTATTGATGGTAGTACACAAGATGCTTGTTCTGTTAGTACTGGACCATGGATTCGGCTTACAAGGCTGTTGATCTGATAGTGAAGGTTTGAAGTTGTATATATTCCTTGTCTCTTTTAGCCTATTGCATCCTTTTGATTTTGAAAGATTATTGGACTACTCTTAGTATGTATAGGTAGTGTACTTGACTTAATTATTAGTTCTAATAGGAGTATTAGGTATTGCAAAACATGGTATGATGGATTAATCTTCTACTCTTATTTTTATGCAGGAACCAATAACTCTTCTTGAGTACTCGATGAATGCAGTCACCGAAGGCATTGATGCAATTGCCACTACACGAGTTTTAATTGGTGGGGAGAAGACTCCTACTACTCGTGCTTTAACTGGAGAAACTGTTCATCGAACATTTAGGTTTGTTGAATTCTGAATTGGATTGCTTTAGTGTATCTTGTTCTTTCTAATGATCCATGGATACGATATATATATATATATATATATTTTTTGTAGTGGGACCGGAGCAGGAATGGATGTTGTAGTTTCCAGTGTCAAGGCCTATATTGCTGCAGTAAACAAGATGTTGGGTTTCAAGGTAACATCTTAATCTGCTGACAAATCCCCAATTTCTGCATCAAATATTTGAGAATTCATGTTACTGCTTTGGTCACCGTTGCTTGTGATTTCTTGTTTACTGTGCAAACAGAAAAAGAACGTTACAGTAGCATCCTTACCTTTTTCAAGTCTCCGTATTAGGAGATTGAAGCTGTATTTTAACATGGTTTTATTTGAGCTTCGTAGTTTACCAATTCCCAGCTAGCCTTAGCAACGAGTGTAATTTAAGTCCATTTTAAATATTCAGACTACAGAGATTTTTTCCTTTTTTTTTTTTTTTTGAGGGTGTCCTTTATTGGAAGCCTTGTATGTGCTTTAGTGATACAACGATTGAAGAGTTTTGTTTTAATATGTATTTTTGCGTCTCATTTCTCTTTTTGCAATAAAAACATGGTCATCTTAAGCTTTGACCTTAGAGCTGAGTCTATAAATGGCAATGGCCCCATATTGTTGGGTCACTGTAATATTTGTCAAAATCAAAAGATGATTTGGAAGCAGATGAGCTTAATATGCATTTGGAAAGCTCAAAACTTGGAGACAGAGTACTGCTATTCCATTTCTTTGATATAGAATCAAAGAGAGCTAGATCTTAGCTTTTCCCTATAAACTTTATAGTACTATTGCCGAAACATATGAGAAGTATAGAACTCACCAAGTCTTTTCATGCAGGTAAACCACCTTTGATAATCTGTAAACCACCTTCGATAATCCAATGGGGATGCCTGAGCTTCTTGGATGACCTAAATTTCCTTAGGTCAAGGAAGTAGGTGTTGAAAACTTCATCTTTTGAGTACAGAAGCCGTGAATTTAATCATTGCCAACTACCAGATTCATCATTTTTTTGAAAATAGCATTCTTTAGTGTGCACAATTCTACCTGCACTTTTTTACGGTAGACATTTGATTCGGTATAAATGTAGTAGTTGACCAATTGTCACAAGGTTGACAGTAATTCGATAAAAAAATATACACCCAAATTTTGTCAGACAAATTAAAGGACCTTTGTCAAGACTAACAGGTAACGCAAACAATACAGTAACAGAATATTTTGGCAAACCTTCTATTGACATTGTCCATACTCCATAGAGACCAGCGTTGCACGTAGGGGCGGAGTCAGAAATTTGGGTAACGGGGTGAAAATAAAAAGTATTATATTATAAATAAAAATATTTAAAATATAATACAGACTTAATATAAAAAAAAACTTTATAATAACCATTTGAAAATCACAATCGAAGATTAGTATCCGATTTTTTTCTTCTTCTTTTGTCTCTAATATACTGCAATGCTTGAGTCCATAAACGGGATGGAAATTGTAAGAAATTGTTGGCCAATGGTTGAAAAAGAAACTCCTCGATGAAAGAGTTTCATAATCCAGACGAGAGAATAGATCTACTAATTAAACCTATTGGATTGATTGAATCGTCTTAGTTGTAAATGTGTATCCGTAACTTATACTTCTGCAGTTTTTGAATCCTATGCTAATTTGAGCATTGAAGTTTTCCTTGAGTTTATTTTGCAGATGTGTCATTTATGCTCACTTGGACAATGTTAATTACTACTTGAGTTTTGATCTTTCACTCAAGAAGTAATGGCATAAATTTCTTTTAGCCATGTTTTATGCTCATTTTTCTAATTATCTCGTTATATACTATGTGCAAATATTGATATTTGCTTCTTCTTTTTGGTAAGCTGGGTAAAACACACCACAACACAAATTAAATAACTGAAATACAACGAGTTCTACAAATAGAAGCTAAATCTACATCAAACAGCAGACCAATTCCAAAGGGGGATTAAAAACACAAAAATCATCAGAATAAACATTCATAAAAGGAAAATTTGCCAGCTAATCCGTACAACAGTTTCCTTCTCTGAAAGTATGAACCAGATGAACTCTCCAATCCTTTTGAATCCATGTCCGTAAACGAGAAATCAGATGATTCTCGCGGACTGCATCACCATCACTAGTGAGCAGAGCAATAGCTGATTTAGAGTCACTTTCTACAATAACATTTCTCCATCCATCTTCCCAAGCTAGTTGCAAACCCTTTAAAATACCTCAGAATTCTGCAGTAAGAGCATCACAACTACCAATTCTATAAGCAAATCCTTTTAACCATTGACCAGCATCATTTCTAATAACACCACCACAAGCTGCTAATCTTTGATTACCCTTAACCGCTCCATCCGTATTAATCTTTACCCAATTGCTTCCAGGAGCCTTCCAACAAATCAAAGTATCCGAATGGGACAGGTTATTTTGAGGTAAATTAACCTTATGAAAAACATCTTGTATATCTCTCACCTTGGCTATCACTGACTGAATCTTGTATTGATAATCATGAACCTATTTGGATTGTCATGACTCCTTTCATTCCTCCACTTCCATGCAAGCCAACAAGTCGTAGCAAACCATGTACACCAAGGGATATTATCCCTGAAAAAACTGATCTATGACATGTTTAGTTCTATCCAATCCCATAAATTGGCAAAAAAGAAAGAAACCTGCATATCTATTGGTACCAAATCAGACCACAAATTCTTCATATCATTACAATCTCTCAATAAGTGAATACAAGTTTCATTATGCTCCCAACAAATTGGGCAAGAAGCTGAAACCCATATTAAACTGGCTAAGGAAATTTTTTGTAGGAATTTTATTGTGAAGCACTTTCCAAATAAACAGCCTAATAACCTGAGGTCCCTTCCAATTCCAAATTTTCTTCCAAATAGGGGCCAAATCCTGCTGCTCAACCACACCAGATAAAGTGGCATAAATACCCTTAACAAAAACTTTGGTATCACCTTTTAAATTCCAAAGCAAGTGGTCCATCCCATCATGAGGATTCAGGGGGAGCATACCTCAGATGTTAAGCAGAACATCATTTGGGAGCCACCTTGAAAGCTTGTTTAGATCCCAAACTCCATTACTGTCTATATAATTAGCCACCTTCATACCCACTTCATCCCAAGGAATCAGACTTATGGCTTTATCCATCAGCCTACCTGCATTTTTAACCCAATTATCCTTCCAAAAAAGAATATTATTACCATCACCAATTTCCCAAATCAAACGCTTTTCTAATTTATTCCACACCAAGCAAATGAATTTCCACAACCTTGAATCACTAACCCTACTTTTAAATATATTTGTTCCCATTCTATGACCTCCATATTTAGCATACAAAACCTGAATCCAGAGTTCATCATATTGGCTAAAAATAGCCCAGGCAATTTTTCCAACAAAGGCCTCATTCATTAAATTAAGCTTTTTTAATCCTAGCCCACCACTCTCTTTTGGCTTTGTAAGGGTTTCCCAACCAACAAAATGCATCCTCTTTTTATCCTATGTATCCCCCGAAATAAATCTTCTCTGAATTTTTTCAAGCTCATGACATATTGGAACAGGAATCTTATCACATTGCATTTGGAAAAAAGGCATTGAAACCAGTGTAGATTGAGTGAGAGTAATTCTCCCAGCTTGGGAGAGACACTTAGCCTGCCAACTATTCATCTTGGATTGAGCTTTTTCCACAATGCTAGCATAAACCTCCTTAGTGACCCTCCCATGCTTCATCCACACACCAAGATGCTTACCTACATTTCTAACCCTTTTAAACCCACAAATTCTGGAGATTTCCTCTGCTGCAACATCCAGAGTGTTTTTGGAGAAGAAAATACTTGTTTTCTCAATGCTAATTTTCTGACCTGAGATCTCACCAAATAAATATGGACATTTCAAAACATTTGTATTTGATGCGGGCTAGCTTGAGCAAATAACATTAGATCATCTGCAAACATCAAATGAGAAATCTATGGCCCTCCATTTCCAACTTTAATTGGCTTCCACATACCCCCATCAACTGCTGTTTTAATTATATGGCTAAGCTTTTCCATGCTCGTGACAAAGAGATAAGGAGATAACGGGTCTCCTTGTCTAATTCTTCTAGTGGGATGGAAGTCATCAGTCATTTCACCATTCCATAAAACAGTAAAATTAGCAGTTGTAATAGCAGCATAGTGATATGAATCAGCTTATCTGGAAGCTGAATCTCCTTCATAACTTTATTCATAAAATCCCAACTTACTCTATCATATGCTTTTTCCAAATCCACCTTTAAAGCCATGAAAGGTTTTTTACCTCTCATTCTGTGCAAAGAATGAATTAATTCTTGCACTATAACGATATTATCATGGATATGCCTCTTAGGAACAAAGCTGGCTTGGACTAGAGAAATTATTTTGGCCATTATGCACTTCAGCCTATGTGTAAGAACCTGCACCGTTAATTAAAGAAGTTAATTAATTAATTATGAGAAATTAGGAAATAATTCCATAATTGACCCTAATAATTATTATAAGGCTTAAATAATTATTGTAAGTGTTTATTAAAGCTGAAAGTCGCTTTTCTGACGAAAAATGCAGATACTGGTTCTGCTACTCGGTATAAATGTGTACCGATGAAGTATCCCAGAAAATTATAATAAGTGCATGAATATTCCTAGAATATTACATAGGACTTGTAAAACGAGTTTCAAGTTAAAATAATGAGAACTGATGCCATAACTAATACTGGCTATGGAAAAGCGCGTACCGAAAAGGTGCTGCGAAAAATATAATAAAAATATGATAAATCTTGTAAAATTTAGTAGGTTCAGATTCCAAAGTTTGGCATTAAAATGCTAAACGTAGCAATTAGTGCTAATACTATATGTTTAATTCTTAAAACATTATATATACGCAAGTTTGGCCCAAAACCCTAGGCACCTTATAAATCCTACGTGAAAGGGTGGCTGACCAGCTCTCTATTCAACGTTCCATTGCATTCTTCTTCATTTTGTGAGCCTAAGGTGCCATTCTTCTACCTTTCCCTTCTCCAAAACACTTTGAGTGGGTGAGGACTTGCTTTGGGAGTGACTAGGAGACTCCATTTCTGGGTTTAAGTTCTGAGTTTGAGGGGTTGTGTTGGCTGAGTTCTTGGTTCTCTTGGAGGGAGCTTTGGTCTTAGCATTTTGGGCTTGAAGGAGTCATCTTGGTGGTGAAAGGACGAACCTTGATCACCATTTTCGTGTTCATTGGAGGTCTGACCTGTGGATCTGTTGTGAGAGCTCCAAGAGCATCATCCACCTTTGTTTTGAGCTTGTGGTATGATCATCACTCTTGTTCTTCAGCTTTCTTAGTTAAAAGTGGAACCTTATGCATGTAATGAACTTAAGATGATAACCTTAGGTTGGGTAATGTTGAACACACCTTAAATCGCATGTTTGAGCTTCTGTATGCATGAAATGAACCACCTTTGGGAAGAATATCTCGCAAAATGCAGAACTGCATTCTGTCGCGAAATATCCGGATATGATATCCGGATATGGGGATCTGAATATCCGAATATTGATATCCAGATATTGGAAGAGAGATATTCGGATATGCCCCCGACAAATATCCGAATATTCTGGGTTTTCGTGAACAGTGAAGATACTATTCATACAGAATGCTATTTTGGGTTTGTGGACCCATGATTGGCTACTGTGAACTTCTGTAATGATTAATGTAAGTCAGAATCTAAGTGATTAAGGGCTTGTGGCTTTGTGAGAAGTCTAAAGACGTAAAACATAAAGGAAAGGCGTTGTCTTTGTGTCTTATGCTTGTTAAGTATGATTATTGATATATTGTTGGTTCGAAATTGTGATTCTGCTGTGTTTGGGCTTTGAGCTAGTGTGGACTCTTGGCATTGGATAGTTAACTTGCAAGGTAAGCTTTTGTGTCCTCGGTTTAGCCATTGTTGGTTCCACCATGTCCCATGGAGGATGGTTTATATGCATGATGTTGTTTTCATGTATTATTTTGATAAATGCTATTGAGCTGTTATATGCGAGTGCCTTTATGATATGCATGTAGAGTTCCACTGTAATACCCCATATTTTCTTTTAATAAAATAATAATAAT